AAAAAAAAAAAAAAAAAAAAAAAAAAAAAACCAAAGAAAAGAAAAAAAAAGAAACAGAACCCTCCGACAGAATTAGCAGTTCAAGAGAAACCTGAATAGAAAGATTGACGCAGAGCGAGGTTCATAGTGGCAAAGAAAGAAGAAATGAAAGAAGAGAAGGTATTATAATAACCATATTCTTTAAAAGATTTAACCTTTATTTCGTTATGAAATTAACCATTTTTGATCATTGTTTAACCCTCTATTAACTCAGTTTTACCCCTATTAACTCAGTTTTTTTTTCGATTACAAAAAGAAAATTGTAGATTATATGCAATGCAATTAATATTTTAATTGATCTCTACTTGAACCGGCTAAATTTTTAATTGAAAGATTCAGGAGGAAAAATATAGATTCATAAAGAAAAACTTTAACGAACTTAACTTGACAAGTTCTGTTTTTATAATCGTAAATATTGTAATTCGATATTTTTGTCGATACTTTTTCGAAAAACTAAGCAAATGAAAATTATCGATTTCTTATTTAATTAAATATTCAATAAATATTATTTCTTTATATACATATATTATTTGTTGTAACATACATTATATCTATATATATATATATATATTATATGTAAATAATAAACGTTATTATATATTTTATTTTATTATTATTATTTACAACCTTTAAATGATATTTGGCATATATTTTTGGATTATTGCCAATAATCATTTATTTATCTTGCTGGATCACGTAAAGACCAATTAAAATAAAGTCTCTATAATTATAAATTTTTAATTCATTTTAATACAATGCAGTAAAAAAAAAACGCGTGGTTTCTGAATTGCATTATAGAGGGTTAAGAAGATAACAATTCTTTTATTATTCTGTTTCATATTATTATCGTGGAAAAAAATTAAGACTAAAAATCTAGAAGTGCAACGTTACAAATCCATTTATAAGATAAGCAGTTAAATACATTTTAATCCCTGGTAATATAAAACTGTAAAAGATTTTTTATATCTAATGATAAAAATAAGTAAAAAAAAAAGAAAAAACTATGGAATTGTTATCTTTTTAAAATTCTTACAGAAAAATTCTTAAAAAATAATAATGTTTAAAAAAATTCTAAGTTTAATACAATTCTAAGTTCAAAGATTGATTTTCATCAATAAGCGCTATATATATTTACAATTTAATGTATCAATATCTTTAAAGCTTTTCTAGAAATTCCTATTCCCAACTCAATTTGTTGAAAAATTAAATTTAAACGAGACAAAATAAATAAGAATTAAAATAAAATTTAAGAAATAA